CGCTGCGCGCGGGGGCATGCGCGGGCTCGCGCGGTCGCAGAGATGCGCCAGCCAACTCCGCGCACTAATCGCAATCGCCGTCGCATGGGCTCATGCAGACCAAGTTGCTGGTGGGCGGGTGGGATGATTGCGCAGGCAGTGGAGTTGACAATTCACTGCGGGCAGAAATTCACTGCGCCAGGTAAATTGCACCACTTCGACTGCACCGCTGAGACTGCACCGCATTGATTTCAACACCTGGACCACACCTCATAGAGCGCATGACAGACGTTGCCACACATAGGTTGCACCACAGAGATTGCATCACAAAGAGTGCGCAACCTAACCGCTGAGACTGCGCCACATAGCTCGTGCAACATACGTTGACCCGCGCAGATTGCACCACGCGGGTTGTGTAACGCATTGCGAGACGCACAGTGCACGACAAATCTTGCACCACAGGGGCTGCCATATCTCTTCTCCTTTCTAAAACAGGATTCGGATCTCTTCCTCCGCTCCCAGACTCAGCGGCCCAGTTTTTCGCAGTGCAATTCGTATGCGATTCTGCTTCGTCGTCCGTCCTAAATAAGAATTCGCGTCATGCCAGCAAAGCCCCCCACCCCCCCACACACCGCTTGCAACGAAACGATATGCGCGCGCACTCGTTCATCACAATTCGCCAGTTGCCAAAAAAAACCTACAACAAACTTGACGAAGCGCACGCGCGCGCCTCTGTGAGCGCATGCCACACTTTTTCAAACACTTTAGGTTTCGCCAGGGTTTCAAAATCGAATGTCCCGAAAACAAATACAAACACATGGTTTCACAACACGGATGTTCAAACAAAACTTTTGCGCTCGGGTTGTTGCGAGTTCGCAAGAAAACCATCGGTTTCCCAACCCACAAGAACTGGCCACCAAACGGGCCTCCCGCGCGCGCATGTCGGAATCGCCCGTGCGCCCTTGCGCGCGCGTTGTCGCAATAATCCTTCGCAACAGATGGGGCGAAGTGCACGCGCGTGCGTCGTCGCACGCGCGTGCTGGAGTCCTTCAAACACCCTAGGGTCCGTGAGGATTTCAAAGCCGAGCTTTCTCAACATATCGATTTACCCCAAACAGCCACATGGTTTTTCAATCTCAGCTTTCATAGCCGCCTGTTTTCGGGCTCCTGCGAACCCCCAAGGGAACCACATAGTTTTACAACGTGTTCATGGAATTCGACCAAACGGGCCCCTCGCGCCGCACATCGAAACCATTCGAACGCCCTAGCGCGCGTGCTGTGGGGTGGGGTTTGGGGGGGGCACGATGCGTGTCACACTTCCGCGCGCGCATATAGAACCCCCTTCAAAACATTCAGCAGCGACGCGAGGATGCCGTCAATGTCGTCGGCGTGATCAGCATCGGCGCCGTCAGTGGCCTTGCCGTCGTCGTTGTCATCACCCAGCATCGCTACCTTCATCATCGCGTCTACCGTTGTCGACGTCGCCATGATACCGCGCCCGTCCAAGTCGCCGACTCACATTAAATTGCCCGCTGGCAAGTGCGCGGCGGTCAGCGCCACCGCGGCCGCGGCGGTCGCGCCTAACTATCCGGCCGCTGCGCGCGGAGGCATGCGCGGGCTAGCGCGGCCGCAAAGATGCACCAGCCAACACGGAGCACTCATCGCAGCTGCCGCCGCATGGGCTTATGCAAATCAAGTTGCGGGTTGGTGGGTGGGATGATTGCGCAAGCAGTGGAGTTGACAGTTCATTGCGAGCAGAAACTGTTGCACCACGTAGATTGCACCACCTTGAATGCACCGTTTGGCCTGTACCGCGTTGGTTTCACCACCTAGTTTGCACCTCGTGTGGTGCATATCCGATGTTTCAACACATGGGTTGCAACACAAACGTTGCACCACATAGCCTGCGCAGTTCAACCAATGAGACTGAACCACCCAGCTCGTGCAACATACCTGCCACCGCACAGAGTGCACCACGTGGACTGCACGCCGTATAGTGCACGACATAGGATGAACAACAAATTCTGCACCTCAGGGATTGTACCACCTATATTTTCTAAGTGTTAGGATCTGTACCCCCCCGCGGTTGTGTGGGTGGGATGATTGCGCGAGCGTTAGAGTGGACACCTCATTGTGAACAGAGATTAAGTGAACGATTTAGATTGCACCACATAGCTTGCACAACAGATATGGAATCTCGTAAATTGTATCACATGGATTGCCCAACGCATAATTCACCACATGAGATGCACAACATATACTGATATACGTTATAAACATATGTATGTAAGTATATATATAAATAAATACAAGTGCGCCACCTAGATAGCACCGCGCAGATTGCATCTAGATCTATCGCACCACCCATTTGTTGTAACCGTTGAAAAAACCGCGCGCGTGTAAAACGGACGTGCGCAGCGATGAAGGGATATGTTTCAAGTGATGCTCACTCTTTGGGGTGCTTCGTTTTATTTAATCGCTTCGCTCATTCCGCCGGCCCATAATGTCGCACCGTGGTCGCCTGTCCGAGTGGTCGTTTGCAGTGTGGAGCTGCGGCGTCGGGAGCTGTGTAGTGTTGGGGGCGTTCTTGGGGCCCTCTTGGGCCGTCCTGGAGGCCTCTGGGGCCGTCTTGGAGCCGTCATGGGCCGTCTTGGGGCCCTCTTGGGGGCCTCTTGGGCCCTCTTGGGGCGATCTTGGAGGCCTCTTGAGCCGTTTAGGGGCGTCGGGGAACCGAAAAGCAAATCTGTCCAACACCAAAGGAAAAACACAGGTTTTTGCCTCTTGGGGCCCTCTTGGGAGTTCCCTTGGAGGCCTCTTGGGGCATCTTGGAGGCTTCTTGGGCCATCTTGGAGACGTCTTGGGCCGTCCGGAGGCCATCTTGGGCGTCGTGGAGCGATCTTCGGGCGTCTCGGACCTCTCTTGGACCGTCTTGGGGGCGTTCTTGGGGCCCTCTTGGGCCGTCTTGGAGGCCTCTGGGGCAGTCTTGGAGCCGTCTTGGGCCGTCTTGGGGCCCTTTTGAGGGCCTCTTGGGCCCTCTTGGGGCGATCTTGGAGGCCTCTTGAGCCGTTTAGGGGCGTCGGGGAACCGAAAAGGTTGAAACGCCCAAATCTGTCCAAAACCTGAGAAAAAAAACATTGATTTTTGCCTCTTGGGGCCCTCTTGGGAGTTCTCTTGGAGGCCTCTTGGGGCATCTTGGAGGCTTGTTGGGTCATCTTGGAGACGTCTTGGGCCGTCTGGAGGCCATCTTGGGCGCCGTGGAGCGATCTTCGGGCGTCTCGGACCTCTCTTGGATTGTATTGGGGGCCTCTTGGGGCCCTCTTGGGGCGATCCTGGAGGATCTGGGGGAGTGTCCCGGGCTCCGCCCGGGCTCCGCCCGGGGTACTTTTGATCCAGGGACCCCCAGGGGCCGCCCCGCGCGCGCGAACTAGAAATACTGTTTACCAGTTACCGGAGATCTTAGCACGCCTCTGGCCCGTTGGTCCGTCGATCCGGGGCGCTCCGGGTGCCTGTGAAAATGAACGACGACGAGGAAGACGAAAACGACGACGAAAACGAATACGTCGACGACGACGACGAGAGCGACGACGACAACGACCACGACGACGACGACGACGACGACGAGCTTCGTTTTATTCTGAGAAAGCTGGGCAGCAATGGCGGTCCGGCCGGCGGCCAGCTCGTCGCCGCCCGTCGCCGCCGTCGCCGCTGGACCCCAGTGGCGGTCGGGCCGTCTCGTCGCCGTGTTGTTTTTCGTTGCTGCGCACTGCTGTGCATTGCTGTGCACTGCTCTGCGCTGTATTTCGTTACAGCGCTCTGCATGGCGTGTCGTTGCGTAGCCGTGCTTTGCACCTCGTTGCGTAGCCTGTTGTTGCTCAGCATTGCTCCTCATTGCTTGGGCATTGCGTTGCATCGCATTGCGTTGCGTTGCATTGGATTGCATGGCGTGGTGCTTCGTTGCATGGATCTGCATCGCATTGTTTTGCATTGTTTTGCGCTGCTTTGAATTGCTTTGCATTGCTTTCAATTGCTATATTTTGCTTTGTGTTGATGTGCATTATATTGTTTTGCATTGCTTTGCATGGCGTTGCATTGATTGAATTGCTTTGGATTTGCTTGCATTGCTTTGCATTGCATTGCATTGCATTGCATTTCATTGCGTTGCTCTGTGCCACATACATTGCACCACATGGACTGCACAACCTAGATTGTACCTCATTGATTACACCTTTGAGACTGCACCGCATCGATTTCAATAACTCGCTGCTTGGGGACCACGCTGGCTCACACTTACATGTTGAAGCCCATCCGCTTAGATCATACAGTTGTGCGAACTTTTCATGCGAGCCTGAGTGGGCTCAGGCGAGAGTCATATTGTCAAACTGATTCCCCCTCCACCTCTATAGCTGCAGGGAACTTTTTAAGGGCGGATGTGCAATGCGCTCAGGAGAGAGAGAGAGAGAGAGAGAGTAACATTTTGAACATGTCTCACCCTTTAATGCGCCTGGCCGATACTTTAACACGAACGTGCGTGGCGCCACGACGGTAGCCACATTTAGGAAACTATGTGCGCGAGCGTTTGATACGAATGTTCTCGGTGACTTGGCGATGGCGACATAGTGAAACTTAGTCGGCCTTCATCCATTTGGGAAATTCCATCCTTCAGTCTCAGTTGAACGTCTGGCCAGCACCATCGTCAGGCCGAGGAGGATGATGAAGAGGATGAGGAGCAAGGAGGGGACGGGAGGCGAGGCAGAGGATGAAAAAAGATGATGGGGGGTATAGAGGAGAGAGGGAGCAGGGGAGAAGGATGAGGAGAAGGGCGAGGACGAGGACGAGGAGCAGGAGGTGAGGATGAGAGGAGGGAGGGGGCGAATGCGGATGGCGAGGATGGGGACGGAAGAAGAGGAGGAGGAGGAGGAGGGAAGGAGCGAATGAGGGAAGGAGGCGGGAGCAGGAAGGAGGGAGGATGGAGATGACTGGTGAGGAGGGCGCGCGCCCCCTCCACACCCCCTGCCCTGCAGGAGATGGCGGTAACGCTGGCCGTTCAGAGCGGACGCTTTCCGGCGTCCAAGATGCGCCTTTTCACCCAGGACCTGGCCCCGCTCGACCGCGCAGAGGCCACCCTGCGTTGTCTCGAGAGCTCCTCCGCTGCCCTCCGTCTCCTCCGTCTCCTCCTCCTCCTCCTTCTCCTCTTTCCTCTTTCCTCCTCCTCCCCCTCCTCCATTACTCTCCTCCCTGTCGCACCCCGAGGCCGGTCGAACGGGCGGGCCGGGCGCTTCGCCTGAGACTTTGATACCATGACCCGGAAGCTTAAACGTTGGCAACAGTTTCACTTATGGAGGGCGGGTGGTTGCCATAGTGCCTCGCACATTCGTTTAGAAAAATTGCAAGAGCTTCACGGATTGAGGGCGGGTGGTCTTCCAAATATTGCTCTCGCCTTAGCGCCGCACAGTTTTTTAAGGTTGCAGCAATTTTGCGGATTGAGGGCACGTCGTTTTCAAAATGTGGCTCTCGCTTTCGCGCCGTGCACATTCGTGTACGAAATTTGCAACAGTTTCACGGACTCCCATGGTAAACGTGACCGACATGGTATTTTGGAAAGGCTCAGGATTGTGAGGGCCAACAGTTCCGTTGATTCTCGGTGCTGAAGTCAGTCAGGTTGATTCACGGCGTTGGAGTCCCGAGAATGGTGTTTTGGCACGCTTCAGGATCTTCAAACGGTTGTCTCCCGACGAGGCAGCTCCCTAGCTGAAAAAGGACCCTTGTAGGGGCCTCGGAAGAGGGAGCGTGGAGGCAGGTTTCATTTCATTATCGTTGGTGATTCTTGGGTGTGCACTGGTCCTCCTGATCCTCCTCCTCCGTCCCTAACTTCCTCGCGTAGTGAACATATCACGACCGAAGGCTTTTGGCCATTGTCGGTCTCCTGGTGCCCTCACTGTCCCAAGGGACTGTCCAGCAAAAGCGGCCCGGGATGAAACACCGGTCCCGAGGCACGTTTTTTTTTTTTGTTTTCCCTCCTCCTTCGTCCTCCGTTTTTCAGGAGGGGAAAAAACACACAGACACAATTAATCGTCGATTCCCAAGGAAATATTGGAAAATATGGGAATTGGGCGGGAAGACAAAAACCCAGAAAATAGGGGAAAATATGGGGAAGTCTTTTATTTGTGTGTATTTATTTGTGGGTCTCAGGGCCCCTTCAGTTTTCCTCCTCTCCTTCCTCCTGCCTCCTTGGAGTTTTGGGCTGCCGATCGGTCTGCCAGTGAAGACTGGGGCCCTCGAGAGGGACCTTCCCGCGACGGCCTTTTGCCACGGGGTGGGGAGGAGAACTCTCCCTGGGCCGAGCATCGAGGAGGGAGGAGGGGGAGGAGGAGGAGGAGGAGGAGGAGGAGGAGGAGGAGGAGGAGGAGGAGGAGGAGGAGGAGGAGTAGGAGGAGGAGGAGGAGGAGGAGGAGGAGGAGGAGGAAGACGATAACGAAGAGAAGGAGGAGGACGACGAGAAGGAGGAGGGGGAGGAGGAGGAGGAGGAGGAGGAGGAGGAGGAGGAGGAGCCGCTCCCTCCTCCTGAGGCTGAGAGGGGAGAGGAGGAGCGGAAGGAGGTTTTTTTCCGGAGGGTTCTGTGGGCGGATGGAGGGTTCCCTGAAAGTGTTCTGTGGGATTCTCCTCCTGCTCCGCCTTGGGTCTCCTCCTCCTCCTGCTCCCGCTCCCGGATCGGGCTTCTCTTCTGCCTTGTCCCGTGCTCGGCGTTGTTCTTCTCCTTCTCCCCGAGGCGTTCTGCATCGTCGCGAGGGCATGCCCGTCATCTGCCAGTGCGCTGCTGTCCGACTGCCACGAGTGGGACCTCCCAGGTGACCGAAGAAGGAACACCTGCATAAGCATCCGCGGCGCGCCTGGGGGGAACGTGAGAGGGAGCAGGCCTGGGTGCTTCTCAGAAGCCCTCTGGCCTTCGGAGTAGTTTTCGGTGCCTTCGGGGAAGGCTTAGGAGACTTCCCGAAAGGCCCGAAGCCGTCTGGGCCTTCTGAGAAGGCCCGCCCCGTCTCACTTCCCCCCAGAGCCCGCCGCCGAAAACATACATCGACTTTCGGCGGTCCGCGCGGACTTCTTGGTCGGCGTCGGGGCCCCACCCTCTTGGCGACGCCTCCGGCGCCGCCCCCGGCGCGCTCAAATCCTAGAACTTCGCGCGGATTTCGACGGGCAGCGACCCCGCCGCTGGCGTTCAACGTCAACGCCGTCGGCGACCTAGAATCGGTCGGTGTTGGAACGATCTGACGTTTCGGAAACGGCCGATCGTCCAAGGTCGGACGATCCCCGTGGTGTCAGGAACCAGCCCCGGGGTCGACACGACACGAACCCGCGGCATGCAGTCTTTTACTCTCCCAGGTGAGCGGACTCACGACGAGAACCCCTTCGGGATGGGAGCCCACAGCGCACCGAGCTGTGGGGCGGGCAGGACGGGAGGGCACTAACGGCCCACACCACGCAATCCCCAGTCCTGGAGGACGGGCCGGCCCTGGGCCCGGGGTCCGTGTCGACGGCGAGCGAGGGGGGGAAGTGAGAAGGAGAAGTCCTTCTCAGAAGGCGACGGGGCTTCTCAGAAGCCCTCGCTCCTTCTGAGAGGTTTTCTGGCGCCGCCCGTCGCCACACCCCGGTCGCGGTTGCACCCCCCGTCGCCGTCGCACCAAATTTATTGTGCTTCGCACGTGCTTGAAGCGAGCTGTCCACGGCGTGCCCATCGCACATCGAACAACGCATTTCGATTGCTTTCTTCGGTGGCCCGCGCGGCGACAGCTCGTTCTTGCGCATCTGTCCACGACGGGCCCGTTGCCGCCGCACTGGGGAGAGCAGGTCGGCTGGGATCCCCTCCTGTTTTCTGTGTCTTCGGGGAAGGCTCGGAAAACTTCTGAAGGCCGACACCTGAGGCGATGCTTAAGAAAACCCAAGTTTTCGGCCAGAGTCTCGATTATTCTGAATGTTTCGATGTAAATCCTAAGATTTGAATGGAAACGTTGGGTTTTTATTCAAATTCTGAGACTATGAATTTCTTAACCCATGATTTCTTAAGCATTTCGCAGGGTGTAGATGGCGTGGGAGGATCGCGCCGCATCGCCGATGCACCGTCGATGCGGCTCGATGCGGGGCCCGATTTTCTCCACGCCGACGTCGCCGATGCCTCGTCGACGTCGCCAGTGCATGGCCGATGCATCGCCGATGCATCGGCGATGCGGCGTGATCCTCCGACCCCATGTACAGTCAAGACGCTGAAATAAGGAACAGTTAGGGTCCGGAAGGGGCTGGACGTTCTTTCGGCCCTCCCGTGGCTGTTCTTCCGGCCCTCCTCGTGAGCGAGGGCGGCTTTGGGACCTGAGAGGGGCTTCGTTCTTTCTTTGGCGTTCATTCTTTCAGCGGCCCGACTACTCCGGATTTCGTAATAAAGGGAGGGGGGTCTCATTTCGGGGGGGGGTCTCTTCCAGGCTATCTTGGAGGGCCTGGGGGGTCTGGGGACGATGTTTTGGAGGGTTCTCCCACGGGGGAGGTCTGAAATGGCTTGTCTTGGAGGGTCCAGACCCCCTCCCTTTTATTACGAAATCTGGCGTACCGTGCCCAAAACGTTGGTGTTGACACGCTGCGCGTTGGCCCGACGTCTTGGCCCACGTCTTGGCGAACGTTGTGCGCCCAACGTGCTTGCGCTCCCAAGCTGCGTGCGGAGCTCCGTGTCAGCACGCTACCGCGTTGCGCGTTGCGTATATGAGGCAGCTGAAGCACAGGTGTTTTTTTTACCCGGACCCCACCTGCTAGGAGGCCTCCAGCACGTGCAGGCTGCCTTTTCTGCCCCGTGCTGCAGGGGCCTCTCGGGAGTGGGCGGCCGCTCGGCCGTCGGGAGCAGCAGCCTTCCAGAGCAGGGTGGAGCCGGGCCTCCTCCTCCTCCTCCTCGTCGTCGTCGTCCTCCTCCTCCTCCTCCTCCTCCTCCTCCCTCCTCCTCCTCCTCCTCCTCCTCCTCCCCCTCCTCCTCCTCCTCGTCCTCCTCCTCCTCCTGCTCCTCCTCCTCCTCCTCCTCCTCCTCTTCCTCGTTCTCGTCCTCCTCCTCCTCCTCCTCCTCCCCCTCCTCCTCCTCCTCCTCCTCCTCCTCCTCCTCCTCCGCCTCCTCCGCCTCCCGGGCCAGCGGGCCCACGACGAGGCCCTCCCTCGGAGCGCGAGGCCGCCGCGCACCGAGCTGCGGGACCTCGGGCGGGGCGCCGGCCGCACGCGGGGCGCAGAAGCCGGCGCCATGGGCGAGGGCGACCGTCGGGGCCGTTGGCTCGGACTTCTATCAGAGCCCCGAATCATCAGGGGTAACTCGGGTCAGGGATAACTCGGGTTCGTTTTTTCGGGAATCCGAACCCGAGTTACCCCGGACCCGAGTTACCCCGGATAACTCGGGCGTCCAGAGCCCCGAATCATCAGGGGTAACTCGGGTCAGGGATAACTCGGGTTCGTTTTTTCGGGAACCCAAACCCGAGTTACCCCGGACCCGAGTTACCCCGGATAACTCGGGCGCCCAATTCTACGTCCGAGGCGGGAGTTGGTCCACAGCCACCGCCTGGAGGGTCGGTTTTCGGAGCCTCGGCAGGCGGTGGGTATGGACATGCTCGGGCCCCCCGGGGGCCGAAGCATATCCAGATCCACCGCCCGCTGGGGCACCAGGGCGTCGGTTCCCAGGCGGTGGAGATGGATGAGTCCCCGCCTCGCATGGCGTCGGGCCCGTCCCTCGGCAGGAGGAGTATTCCCAAATGGGCAAAACGTAGTCTGGGGACCATGTTTCTGTCATGTTTGGTACTTTTTGCATCTGTCTTGCCTGTTGCTCATTCTCCTTCCAAAGGAAGCTGCCTGTCGGAGGACATGCCCGACCTACGCTTGGACGCCCGAGCTGTCCGGGGCCAGTCTGGTCCGGGGCAGTTCGGCTTGGGTCCCCCGAGGCACGAGTCAGGGGCTACGGCTACACCCCGGCGTAGAGTTGAGGGGGCTCGAAGCCAAAGGAGCGGACTCCGCTCCGAGCGCTGTCTCGAAGAGTCGTCCAGGACCAGATGTATACACGAACCGTCTGCACATTCCGCGACGAAAAAAGCAGCTCCAAGAGAACGCTCAGGGTCCAGTCCAGCTTCTTCCCCAATCAGAGCCTGCCTGGGTAGAGGTCCTGGCGGATTCATATGGTCAGGTGAGGTGTGCCGCCGATTTCGGTGGCCGGCCCGGGTGCCCGAGGGTGCCCGGGGGTGCCCGGAGGTGCCCGCGCCGCGGGGGTGCCCGGAGGTGCCGGGAGATGCCCGGAGGTGCCGGGGGGTGCCCGGGTGCCCGGGTGCTCTATCGCCCCATAGCTCTATATAGCCCTATAGCCCAATAGCGGTATAGCCCAATAGCCCTATAGCATTGTAGCCCTATCGCCTTGTAGCCCTATAGCCCTATAGAACTATAGCCCTATAGCCCTATAGCACTACAGCCCAATGGCCCTATAGCCCTAAAGCCCTACAGCCCTATAACCCCATAGCCCTATAGCCCTATAGCCCTATAGCCCTATCGCCCAATAGCCCAATAGCCCATGTAGCCCATCTAGCCCTATAGCCCTATAGCCTTATAGCGCTACAGCCCCAACAACATATGATTGGGTTTCTTCTCCGGTCTCATTGTTTTTCATGAGCGAAATCTGGAGTCTACGAAGGTCGACGTTTTTTTAATCCTCCTGCGTTGGGCAATCGTTTTAAATAAAGCACTTCCCGCGCGTCTTCTCCTTCTCCCGCCCCCCTCCTCCTCTCCTCTTCTCTCCTGCCTCTCACCTCGCTCCTTCCTGCGTGCCAGTTTGCCTCCTACCTCGCCATCCCTGGGGGCTGCGATCTGCGAAACTGTCACCACTTTCCAGGGCTGCGGGGGGGTGCAGCGGAGTGACGTCCTACCCAGATTCAGATGAGACCTCGCCACCAATGGGGGGCTGCGATCTGCAAAACTGTCACCACTTTTTAGAGCTGCTGCGGGGTGCAGCGGAGTGACGTCTTACCCAGATTCAGATGAGACCTCGCCATCGCTGTGGGGCTGCGACTTGCAAAATGCAGTCGCCACTTTCGAGGGCTGCTGGGGGTCTTACCCTGATTCAGATGAGAAATCGCCATCCCTTTGGGGCTGCGACTTGCGAAGCTGTCGCCATTTTCGCGGGCTGCTGGGGGGTCGAGTCGAGTGACGTCTTACCCAGATTCAAATGAGACCTCGCTATCCCTCGGGAGGGTGCAATCTGCGAAACTGTCACCACTTTCGAGAGCTGCTGGGGGGTGCAGCGGAGTGACGTCTTACCCAGATTCAGATGAGACCTCGCCATCCCTGGAGGGTGCGATCTGCGAAACTGTCGCCTCTTTCGAGGGCTGCTGGGGGGTGCAGCGGAGTGACGTCTTACCCAGATTCAGATGAGACCTCGCCATCGCTGTGGGGCTGCGACTTGCAAAATGCAGTCGCCACTTTCGAGGGCTGCTGTGGGGTCCAGCGGAGTGACGTCTAACGTGGACCACCAGGGGACCTCGGTATTTTTTGGGGGCTGCGAAGCTGGCGGGCGAGCTAGGCCTCGCTCGCTTCTTGCACTAGCTATTCGCAGGTTGAATCATTTGTTCGAGCGCCGCGGCGACATGGAGCAGGCAGCGCTGCATCTTTAACGTAGTACCGACAAGCAACGCTCTTCGGTCTCCTCCCGTCCGTTTCGTCGTCGTCATCTGCCCCCTGCCAAGTTTCTTCTGCTGCTGCCGCGCTGACGGTTCGGCCCCCCACGCATTTTTTTGTTTTGCCCTTCGTTCCCGCCCCCATGTCCTCCTTAAGCCTGGGCCCTCGCTCCTCGTCCTTTTGTTCTGTTTTGTGAATCGTGCCACGCGAGCGCGTCCCATGTAGCTTGCACAGCATATAACGGCGCCTGCAGTGTCATTGTCCTGGCAAGTTTGGGCCAATTCCTCTTGTCACTTGATGCAAGTGGGTCGGGTACTTTACAGGGTAATTCTTAATACTTCTGAGTGTTGTACTTCTGACCACCTTCAGGGGTGGTCAAGAGGGGGGGACGACTGGGGGTGGGGGACAATCGTGGCGGGGGTCATGATACCTCCCCAGATTTCATGGCGCCTTTTCTTATTTCACTACGCCACAAGGCCCCTCCCGGCCGCGCACATGTTGCCGGTCGTGATTTGCGCCCCTCCCCCTCTTGGGCGCCCCACCCCCCCCTTTGGACGCCCCCGACGCCCCGAGCCCTGTTTTTATAAAGAAATGATGGAACATCGTCTCCAGACTCATTTTTTGACTGTTTTGGAATATCCCTCCTGCAGAGGGACAGGCCCGACTTAATCCTAGGGGAACAGAACTCGGAGGTCCGCGCGGATTTCCCGGATCGGCGCTGGACCTCCCTGGCGGCGCCTCTGGCGCCGCCCCTGGCGCGGCTCCGCCCTCATGACTCGAGGCTCTGAGAACCAGTGGGCACGCGGGGCCCGGCAGGCGCGGCCAGGAGGGTGAAGGTGAGCGGGCGCCCACCGCGCATCGAGCTTCGGGGGGAGCCCGACACAAGCAGAGGGGGCGCCGGCTGCCCGCACGATCGCACACGCACGGGTCCTCGAGGCGGGCCGACCAAACAAAAACAATTAGCCTGGCGAAGGACCCAACCATATGCAACTGTGAATACCGCAAGTGT